ACAAAATGGCTATTCAGTATGCATTAGATTTGTTAATTTGCCTACTGCTGATAATACTAAAAAATAAGCGGTATTTCAGAAAAAAAAAGTTTACAAACTATAAAATGAGCCCGACCATCTCTATCTTTATTCCCAAACAAAAGATGAAACACACACACAAAAGTAGTAGTAATATATAATTAGCCTTCTTCTCTTCATAATAAATCTTTTCCTTAGCTGTAAGGATCTGGTATTTTACATATTTAACTGACAGTTCAACAAAAATAAAACATCTTATCCCATGTGATTTGAATCGTATTTGAATAGTATTTCTTGACTTAATCATATCTCAGTACAGAGCACATGCAACAAATTCCATTATTAAAACAACTTATCTAATAGATGAAAAAATATATTAATAACATATTTTTCTAGGGCTATCATACAGAATTATTTTCAAATGGCCTGTTATTTTAAAAAAAAATAAAAAATCTTACTAATAATTAATATAAGTAACAGATACTAAGCTGAAATTCAGTCAGGATTTAATGTCTTAAAAAATAATCAGGCAAGCAGCACCACTCACATACATTAGGTTTCCAACCTTATTACTATCCACATCTAGAGAAGCCTTTACTTGGAAAGCTGTCCTGTACATTGCAGATGTTTGAAGTGTATTTATCTTTTATCCACTAGATGCCAGTAGTCTTCCACCTAAAAAACTATCTATCCAGACACTGCCAAATAGTCCCCGGGGGCAAAACCACCTTAGCCCCAGGGTGACTGGGAATGATGAATGAGTAAACTCAGAGGAAGCTTTGCTCAATGATTATTTTTTCAGGAGAAAATAAGTAATACGATGATTCCATTCACAGCACTGAGTATCGCTGATAACAGGTATAAATATAGCAAATGCCCGAAGTTGTTACAAAGAGCTGAGATGGGGTTGGGGGATTTACAGAACAGACATATCTGTAAAGAGTCTAGGAAAGCCATAAAGCACGTGGTGAAAAGTGTGTGGATTCTATCGACAGTGAAATAAGGTGGAGGGTCCCAGGTGCCAAAAGTTGTGTAAGAGAAGGTATGAAATTTGAGGTTTGGTAAACATCAAGCTGCTATCCCCTAAATTAAGGCCACTGTGGGAGGACAGGGAGAGAGCAAGTGAGAAACAGCACCGCAGTCTTTTCAAGTTAGCAGAGTGGGCAGTTAAGGTAATAATAGCAAACAATGGTTTAAATCAGAGTAATAAGGGCATGATGTAGGTTACAATTAGTCTGACAGGGATCTGCATAATACATCACAACAGACTGAACAGAAGGAGTGAGACTAAAAAGTTCATCAGAGGTGAACTATGGTGGGTCCATTTTGGACAGGCTTCTTGTGTATGATTTTAGCATATACAAGTATGAAGCTGAAAGGCAAAAAAAATTCTAGAAACTCTGAGTTAAGTGACAAGAAAATCATAAATCATTGAACATGGAGAAGGTGAATTGGGGCCTACATAGAGCCTTCACCCTACATTCTAGTGTCTTTGGTACAGGAAGGTACTCTTCAGGCTACCCAAAGGAAAACACAAATACCAACCTAGCCACAAAACTTTTGATCTATAATCTGTCTTGTCTGTAAAATATGCTAAGGCAATGGTGGCACAAAGCTTGAGGGAATAACCAACCATATCTGATCTGACTTAAGGTCCACCACACAAAATGGAACTCATACCCAATGTTGCTAGGGTGACCAAGAACCAGAAACTAGACAGCCCAAGGACCTAGGGTAAAATCAAATAATACTGGTCTAAAAAAAAAAAAAGTAGCAATAAAATGACTCCTAATAATATTCTGCTATACTCATAGATCAGTGCCTTGCTCAGCCATTATCAGAGAAGCTTCCTCTCATAGTAGATCAGAACAAATACAGAGACACATAGCAGATATTATGTAAAAAGTGAGAAACCATGGAACACTCAGCCCTAAATGGGTTGTCTCCCATGAACCCCTCCCCTCAGGTCTCAGGGAACCCCATGGAAGAAGAGGCAGAAAGAGTTAAGAGGTAGAAGGGATAGAGGACCCCAAGGAAACTAGGCCCTCTAAGTCAACAGGGCGGATGGACATATGGCGCAGGCGCACAGGGTCCGCGTAGGTCTGTACCTGACGACATCCCAGAGCTGAGAGGAGAAATGGACACGTGTCCCCACCACTAACATAGAAGCCATCCATCTCCACTTGCTAACCACCTGCAAATGAGTCCTCAGTATCACTGCAAGGTCCTTATCTCATAATGACTGTCAGGCTTTTCCTTTTTCATTTGTTTGTGTTTATTAACTTTACCTTATTATTTTTAATTCTTATTTTATTTGTATATAATTTTTTCCTTTTCTGTTTTTACCCTATAGATTCTTTGTGAATATATTATGGATTTCAGTTTAGTGTTTTTGATGGGATTCCTGAGTGTTGATGAGTGGGTCTGTGTCTTCTGCCTTCTCTTGGGCTCTTTTCCTTCTGTTTGTTTTGTCCAACTTTAATGTGTTAGATTTTGTTTTATCTTATTACATTCTATTATTTCCCTTAGGAGACTGTTTAATTTTTAGTGAGAGACAGAAAGGAGGTAGATGTGGATGGGAGGGGAGGTAGGGAGAGAGTGAAAAGCAGAGGGACGAGAAACTGTAATGAGGATATATTTAGTAAGGAAAAAATAGATTTTCAATAAAAGGAAAAAAGAAACAAAATTATAATCAATATAATATATCAACATTAATATCAGTATAATCATTATAATAAATAAATTTAAGATTATAAAAATGTGGTTCTGGAGCATTAAAAGGAGATCATTAATATCAATGTGAAGTTTTCAAAGGACTGTAATAGCTAATGACATGCTAAAAGAGATTCTTGTGTTTTTTTTTTTTTAAATCCCCCCACATAGGAATGGAATTGCTCACCCAGTGTTCTTACCCATTTTGTGCAAGGTCTATCAGTACCAAATCCTTTTCCAGAAGAACAACCACAGCATATGGTTCTTGAAAATCTGGAATATGAGAACAATGCATGATCAGTTGCTTTACAGATGCAAGAGGGCAGCCACAAGATAAGGACATCCCTTACTTCCTCGTCTTGTTCCAGTTTCTAAGTGTTTAGCATTCTGATGAGTCCAGGGTGGTTCATATAATATGTATGGCTTGAATGAGATAAACATACAACATAATCCATTCAAAATTCTTAGGTATTTGTAAAGATGAGTAAGACAAGAACTTCAAAGAAATGTCTGTGATATTACATATTCCAGGGGTGTGGCAAAGACATCAAAACTGCAACTTAATCCAGACCAATTCCTATAGAATCTCAGAATAAACTGATAGAGTTCTGTTATTGTTTTCAAATGTTAATATGTGTCTGTTAATAACTACAAAATGCATTGCATCTTTAAACTTCAAGGAGATCCAAATGAAATGAGAAGATGGACATTTGAATTCATTCTCTGAATTAACTTGTCTATGCTTTGGTGCCCCTAGCTGCCTGATCGGCACTAGTCTAACTCTGCCATGAAGGAATCTCTGAGAAATGACTAACATTCAATGTGGTAATCTTAACAAAGCAGTTACTCTGAATGGCTGGGCCAGCCTAAACCTACCAGATGAAGGCCTTAAGGGCAAAGACAGCTTTCCCTCAAAGACATAATGCTGGGTGAGGGTTAAACCCACAATTCCTTCCCGAGAGTCCCAAACCAGGACTTGAACACACTCTAGAATTTTTAGACTGTTAGTCCCCAAGTCCTTCATATATACCACATAACTCTATTTCTCTGGAGAAATATAGCTAATTTGATATACTACTGTTTCACAGAATTTAAAATATTAAATATGGGCAGTGTCTTTCTTTGAAAGGTATTTAATATTAAATGTACAATACAGAAAAGGTAGAGTGTACTGGAAAAAAAAAAACCTAACAGCTGAAATAAAATCGGCCATGTTTAACAGCAGGAACTCTTCCCTTGAAGCATTAAGACAACAGTATATGGAAACTACTTAGGACAGCAGACATCTTTGTTGAACATTAATATTTATGGAGAGTGAGCCTTACCGTTCGGGTATGGTGTTTCACAGAGTGTGAGAAAATCAACAATTGAATAGTCCATTTCTAGCACAGCCGTGCTTTTCCCATGCATCACTGTTAAGCAAGGCCTCCTTCCCACAGTATCATATGACAGGCCTCCCGACAAAATAATAAAAGGTTCCCTGGAAATAACAAATAGTATGGATTACAAATATTGGAGTGGACACTGTTTTTACTGCTGTATCATATGGGTATTTCAATGACAGTATCTTCTGAAAAAAATTTATATACCACATAATGAAAGAATTGTAGATGGAATTTTTAATGTGATTAAGCTCAAACCTAGTTTGCTGAAGAAGATTAAACTACAATAAAAATGAGCATGATCTATTTGACTCTGACCTTCTCCTGGTGCTTATTTTATTTCCTATGGACAGCTGTCATAGAGTCTTCTCTCAGTTTGTGTGTGACTTCTACCTTAGTCCTAACAAGGTTTCTCAACAAACGTTCACCAGAAAGCCTTACAGCTTTAGATAGCTGTGCTACAGAACACACTACTTTTTCAAGGATACATCAAGAACTGGACAAGCTTTAAACCACTCAACAGCTGGAAAAAGAGTCATTCAAAAGATTTCCCACAGGCCTTACTGTTTCCTAAGAAACCTCCTAGATAAACGTTGACGTCTTCACTCCCATCACGCCCTTACAGGCTGCCACTTGCCCCGTAATACTTACATTTCCAATACCACAACCCCGGATACCATATGGTCATGATGAAAACTATATGACTTATCTAGAGTCTAGAATCTAGACCTAGGTTTTAAAAGCAGCACCAAAATAGCTTTTCATATATCACAATATGGTATATTTCTTTATCTTTGCCTTAATTTGATATTTGTTTGTATGAAGTTATTTAATGTGTAGCATGCAAATTATTTAAAGTTGTCTACATGATTTTTAAAACTCTCTTCATTTATGCTTTAGAATTTTTCTAAAATATTTTATTTTCAATTAAAGGTATATCATCTGTGGGAATGTGCAGTGAGTGCAGGTCCCTGGGGAGGCCAGAATAGGATGCCATATTCCCCAGAGCTCTATAGGCAGTTGTAAGCTGTCTGATGTGGGTGATAGGAACCCCACTTGTATCCTCTGTAAGAAGAGTATGGTCTCTACATTGTTACTCTGTACCTCCAGCCCTTCATTCATAATGTTTTAGTTTTAAAGAATAAAATGTTTACATTAAGCCCTGTATACTTATTTTTCATGATGGCATCCTACTTTGTTCACGTTTGTGGAGTTTTTAAGTCTTCATATCTACCATAAGTAGCACACATTGACCGGCAATGATAACAGGGCCAGGTCTTGGGCTCAAGTACCAACATTTACATCTCTGCTCTGAACTCCTGCATGCTGGATTCCACATCTATGCACGGAGACCTAAGCCTTAGACAATTCGTAACCAAGCAGTGCCTGGTTCAGAGAACCCTAAGTAAGAGTTATCTATTATAACTGCTGATGCCATCAAATCATTACAATTGTCCACTGTGATAGTTCCCTTTTGAAGCGTGCACTAAAATACATACATAAATAATACAAAAATAAAAATGAAAATTATTTTTATATAAAACAAGAATAAATATTGTTGAGATTTAGTTAGTTAGATTAGCAGTTAGTTAGATACCTTATAAGTAAATATAAGTATTGGAGCAAATAATGAAAATTTTCTTACTGAGGTACCTTATTTAAAATATAGAAAATGTGGGGGAATGAAAAGTGTGTGTGTGTATGTGTGTTTGTGTGTGTGTCCAAGTGTATTAATATTGTGAAAATACACCCTCATGCATCTACCTTCCTTGTTCGCTCTATTTTTCTACAGTATTTATGATTTAAAATGAATTTATTTTGCCCATTGTCTGTCCCAACAAAATAAACCTTCCATGAAGTGTTTTTAATCTATGTTGTTCATTGCTCTATCTAAAACAGTTTCTTGAACAGTGTCCATCACACTAGAAAAATGTTATAGTGTCCTTCAAATGAATTAATAAAGTATGTTTCATGACCATTTTTAACATGTTCTTTATATTTATCATTAAGATGATTTGGATAGTATTATTTTTCTGGCTAAATTCCAAAACTCAAGTTTCAAAGACTTATCTTGAGTAAAACCACACTCCTATAGACATTGTTTCAAACTCCAGTCATTGTATGGTTATGATCATATTGAGCAGAAACCTTTTATTTTTCTTGTATGAATAAAAACAAATTTAGCTTTTTGCTACTTTGCCTTTACTATAACTTACAACTAAATTGAAAATAGTTAAAGAGTTCACTATTTAATAAATATTTCTTAGATGTCTACAGAGTAGGATCCCTGGGTAGTTTTATAAGTGGTATTTCAAGGATGGTAGGTAAGTATAAATTTACATGCAACCAAGTTTCAAAAAAAACAAACAAACAATGACATCAGCACCACAACTATGAGCAGAGGACAGCTGAACTACACTACAATGTCTAAAGCCACCCGTGAATACCAATTGAGCTAAGCAATCAGTTCACAGTCTTAAATAACACTATGGCAATTAGTGGGATTTTCCTCATGAGAGAACTGATTTTCTCTCTCTCTCTTTTTTTTTTGTTCTGTGACTTTGCAATATCTATTTCTTTCCTAAAAACAAAAGGAAGCTGGGTGGTGGTGGTGTTGGTGGCACACACCTTTAATCCCAGCACTCAGGAGGCAGTGGCAGACGGATCTCTGTGAGTTTGAGGCCAGCCTGGTCTACAGAGCGAGATCCAGGACAGGCACCAAAACTACCCAGGGAAACCCTATCTCAAAAAAAAAAAAAAAAAAAAAAAAGGAAAAGAATGATGTCAAAACAAAACAAAACAAAAAAAAACAAGAAACCAAAAAATAGTTGAAGAGAATGCTGACTGACTCATCACTAAGCCGTTTTCTGTTTCACTGTAAGCTTGCTAAACCTAGCAGTAACGCCTTTCACATTACATGTCATTACATGCCGTTTCTCTCTTTGTAATGTGGCTACCAAGAAACTCGCACCCAACTTATGAAACTCCAGTAAGTTCCTTATATCCAAAGCTTAAGGAGAAAATATTAACAGTTTATCAGGATAAATTAGTCATGTACAATAAGTTTCAAGGATTTAATGCTACATACCAAAATCTGTAACATTTCAAAGTTGTACCTGGCATTTGGACTTCAAAAAGTTCTAATGAGCTAGATTATTTCTAGGTAATATATGAATTGTGGAGGGGAAGAAGATTTGATATTTCTTAAGTGAGAAAGCTAAGCTTTCTGATGTTATTGAGGAGTTCTAGAGGTGACGTAACTTTATTCTATGACTTTAAGAAGAATGTTAGTATTGTCTCTTAATGGCATTGGAGGTCAAGCAGAACTTCATTTAGTAGCTATCTAAGTCCTCTGCAGCCCTTCTAATTTGACTGGACATCATTCGGTGCACATGCTTTCTTCATTTTATAAACTGCTCCAACCCAGCCTGGAGGTAGCTTTAGGGTAAGCTGTGTGCCCATAAGAAGCTGTCGTCACTAAATGAACCTACTTTATTCATCCAAAAAGCTCCACATGTAAGTGAGTCACCTACTGCAGTTCCAGGAAAGCAGCTATCTATTCACTGACTTGAATATTTCTGAGTATTTGTGCTTTGGGGGATAAACAAGTGCTCTCACATCCAGTTTAGCCACACAGTTCACATACTGAAGAAATTAATAAGGTGGAGAGATGGGCTGGCTGTAAGAGTCAGGCCAAGCCACTAAAGTGATGACAGGCAAGGTGATACCAGAATGAGGAGAAACCAACTGTTCAGAGGAGTTAGTTTGGTGGGGAGAAGGAGGTACACACTGTCCATCCAAAATGACTACTGAAGACTAGGAAGATGACTCAGAGGTTAAGGACACTGGCTGCTCTTCATAGGACTCGTGTTCAGTCCTTAACACCTACATGGTAACTTAAAGTCAACTGTAACTCCAGTTCCAGAAGATCCAATACCTTCTGGACTCTGTGGACACTGTATACACATGGTGCACTTACATCCATGCAGGTAAAACACTCATACACAAATAAAATTGAAAACAAACAAGTACTGCAAAGATCAGCTTAGTTTGAAGAAACAAGGGCCATAACAACAGTCAAGGTGTCCATGGTGATGGGATGCAGGGCTCTCTCTGTGTATTCTATTAGTGTCTATGGAACTGGCCACCACCTTTCCAAGCCACAATTCTTTAGGCTGGGGCCTTTATGAAATCTTTGGAAAGTAATTACCTTTATCTGGTTAGCTCCTGTTTTAAAACAGTCACGCCAATATTTCTACTCCCCAAAAAGCCTTTCTTGACTCATTCACTCTCAATAGGCAATCTTCCCCTACATGTTCCTAAGAACCTTCCCCACATCACTACCTGCATTTACTAGCATGAATTGCCAGAGTTTATCTATTTTCCCTCTGTAAGCTCTAATATTCTAGACCCTGGCTAAGTCACAAATATATACATATCTAAAACTGTTTTGTGAAAGGCATTTTCAATACAACTAAAGGATAGCATTCCTTTGACAATAACTCCCCTGCTCTCCTTACCTGCCTGAGGTATGACTACTTGGACTCATACACCAGAGCAAAGCATGCACAAGAAACAGAAGGCTCCAGTGAGCCTTCATATGCCTATTCTTTGAAAGCCAGGACCAACACTCACACTAAAGCTAAAGAAACTCAAGCAATTAGTCAAGTAGCAAATGACTCTTTGCCTTAAAAAAAAAATTAGAAGCAAATAAATAACGGTCAGGCTTGCCACTTGGTCATCTATTTGGGGGACAACAAAAACAAAAGAAAAACTGCATTTGGATGTTTATAGATGTAATCAAATGTCACTTGGAGACGGTGTGAAGTGAGGCAGCTGTGTGAAGAGCATGCTATGACATTCTTATATTTTTTCTAACAATTTTATGAAGTGGTCCTTATTAAGGTTCCTACTTTAAAGATAATGAAACAGGCACAGAAAGCATAGCTGGTCTGAGCAATGAGAATAGCAGAGGCAGGATGCAGACTAAGTGGTCTGCCTATATACACCCCTCCCCACTGTGCTGATGGACATGTTTTACCACAGCATGCTTCACCTTCTTATTGCTCAAAGAAATAACTTCAGCAGATCTGACTTAGCATTCTTGACTCCTGGCTTTTTAAAGATTAAAAAGAAGAAAAAAAAAACTTGTATGTATGTGTCTGTGTCTATGTGAGAGTAAGTCACATGTGTGCAGGTATCCTTGGGGGCCAGAAGATGGTGTCAGAGACCCAGGTGGTTGTGAGTCAACACATAATACACATGAGTGCTGGGAACTAAACCAACGTCCTCTGTAAGAGCTGTAGGTGCTCTTAAATGCTCAGTCATCTTTCTAGTCCCTTACTTCTTGCTTTTAATAAAAACTAGGTGTTTAATGAAGTAGTAACATATTTTAAATAAATTAATAATTAAATAAATTATTTCTTAATTTGCTCTATCTCTAACTTTATTCCATCAAAAGAAGAATCCATGCTTTCTAGATATAACAGCAATATCAAGAGTCCATACATAGCTATACTTTATATACACCTACCCATACCTGTACACGCATACCCATACATACCCATATTTACACTCTAGCTCCTAACATTCAGCAACACTAAGCTAGGATCTGGACAAATAGAAGACAGAGGCTGGGGATATAGCTCAGCAACAGAGAACTTACTTAGTATGCATAAGGCCACAGGTTCCACCCCTAACACAGAGGTGTATGGTGGGTGGGGATTTAAGGTGAGACAATTGTATTTCATGCCTCATGCTTTCATCAAATTTAATACTTAAAGGGGATACATACATTCAATATTGACATGTGTAAGTCATAAAAAGAAAACTGTCTCCCTCAAGAGGGTATTTCTGGAGACCCTATGGAATATTCCTTTACACTGTGTGAATGAATATATGTCACTGTGATTGGTTTAATAAGAAGCTGACTGGCCAATAGCTAGACAGGATAAAGTTAGGCAGAAGAGCCAAACTGAGAATGCTGGGGAGAAGAAGGGTCATGTCAGGAGTCTTGAGGAGACACAAAGAAAAGCAAGATGGGCATGCCATACTGAGAAAATGTACCAAGCCATGTGGTAAAGTATAGATAAGATATATGGGTTAATTTAAATGTTATAAGATATATGGGTTAATTTAAATGTAAGAGTTAGCTAGCAATAAGCCTGGGCTATTGGCCAAGCCTTTATAATTAATATTAAGCCTCTGTGGTACTTGGGAGTGGCTTGTGGGACAGAAGCTTCCACTTAGAACCCTAAGCTAGCCAAGGAGGCTAATACTCTAAAAAGAGAAAAGGCTGAGCTAGAAGGAAGAGAGAAGGGTCCTTACTCCCAGAATGACTTCTAGGCAAGAAAAGAACAAGACCCCTGCATATGTGATGACAGCTCTCTCTGAAGACTCACAGTTTGCAAACAGGAAATGAAACAGCACGCTTGCTATGGACAGCACCAAGAGATGCTGCTGTGGGTGAGCAGGGGACGGTTTTAGTACTTAGAGCTAATCAAAGAAGAAAGCCATGGAGCACAGCAAAATAAAAACTTTATTGAATTTCCTATCCAGGATAAAAAAAGAAATTTGAGGAGACAGTTAAAAGATGGCCCTACTGATCATATTAAATAGTTTAAAAAAAATTACCTACTAAAGAACAATATATCTTTTTTTAATCTTCATTTCAAATCTGCAACAAGAAAGCAGTGCTGCCATCTTGAGGAAACTGGGACTTGAGGAAACTGACACTGTACCGGTAACACTATCATGAGAGAGAACTAACAGACGCACAGAAGACAGCGGCCTGGTCTTGCTCATGTTTTGCAATATTTAAGGAACTCACTGTTGGGGGTTTTTGCTCTTTTGAGGAGCCTGCCACTTAGCTCCCAAATAAATCACACACAGAGGCTTATTCTTACTTATAAATGTTTGGCCTTAGCTTTGCTTGTTTCTTTCCAGCTTTCCTTAAATTATCCCATCTACCTTTTGACTCTGGGCTTTTCCTGTTCTCTTCTATAAATCTTACTCTTTCGCCAGGGCTTGCTGTGTAGCTGGGTGGCTGACTCCTGGAGTCCTCCTCCTTCTCTGGCTACTTCCTTTCCCTCCCATATTTCTATTTATCCTCTCTGCCTGCCAGCCCTGCCTATTTCTCTCGCCTGCCTTGCTATTGGCTGTTCAGCTCTTTATTATATGATCAGGTGTTTTAGACAGGCACAGTAACGCAGCTTCACAGAGTTAAACAAATGCAACATAAACAAAAGTAACACATCTTAAAATAACATTCTACAACAACTCACTTTATGATACATATAAATACAGACTTTTTTTGGTTTGTTGCCTTTTTAAGTTTTCTGTTAGTTTTGCTTTTGCTATTCCTTTTTTTCCCCCTATTTTAATTCTTTTGTAAAAGGACAAATGTGACAAATAATAATTAATTAGTGGCCGAGGGTTTCCTAACACAAAAAGTTTAATGCGCATACATGAGCATCTCACTAAATTCATCATAGTCACCTATAGTACATTATTTAAAAATGAGAATATCCAAGCAAAGAGAAATCAAATAACTCTGTACCACAGATTATATAGTGAGGGCTTTCAAGGTCAACTAAACAGATGTTCTTCTTCCTGGAATTCATTCAACTTATTATCTGTTTCTGAATCAACTCTAACAGTGTATTCCCACCAGATCTCACAGAAAGGCTAGGAATGATGAAGAAATAAATAAGAACATTTTTTTTTTTTTTGTCCAAAATAAGTCCAGGGCCTTTTCTCACAAGAGGACAGAGCAAAGCCGAGTCAGGAGGACAGGTTAAAAAGGGAAAGAGGGCAGTTCTCACACCATGTTTATAAATTGGAATGTGCAAATAGATCAGCAGCATTAGAATTTCCTGTAGATTGAATCAAAACTGATTTCTGGACCTCAATGCACAGTTTCCTGATGCACTTTGAGAACCCTGCATTATACTATATAGTCTTACTCTTTAGATTCCTTTAGTAAAGACAACTAATAATAATTAGAATAGGAAGTTTTTAAAAATTCTTCCAACAGAAATTAAAAAGATGCAGAATTTTCAAAGCAATAGTTTAATATATATATATATATATATATATATATATGATTTATACTTTCAGTATAGCTTTTGATACATAAAATTAAGACATTTAGATTGTGGGTACCATCTAATTCTTATAACTATTTCATATGAGTATCAGTATTGTAATATAATTGACAACCCTTTTAAAGTAGTAAGTTGCATTCATTTCTGTAACTGCCAAATATTATGAAATTTAATTTCTGAATATATGACTCTTAGTTAAAACATGTAGGGTAGATTATATTTTAATTATTTCCCTTCATCATCTTTTCCACACTTTTTATATTAGCAAATAAATATTACTGTTTCCAAGGATCAACAGAAGATATTAATTATGTTGGGATGAAAAATAATTTACTTTCCAAGATGTAGAAATCAACTGCAAAAGCAAGAAGAGCCTCAGGTAATTTACCCTAACTATGTATTTTATTAAATTATGAAAGCAGAAAACTTAAGACAGGGTAGCCTAGTCAAAAGTAGGGCTTCAAAATTCACTATACAGGTTCCAATGCTATTTGAATCACCTGTAACAATGAACACAACGATGAAGGAATCTTACCCAGATCTAGTCGTTTTGAACTCCACCTTGAGGATAGGCTTGCATGGCTCTGGTTTCTTCCCATCCTTTAACTGTTTTCCTAAAATATATTTTCCTGCATTAAATTCTATATTACTCTAAGTTCTTACATTGATAATTTATAAAGTGAAAATGAAATATAATAAAATCCCCTTTTAGACAAATAACTCTTAACTTCATATATACATAGTTAAAAACATGAAAATGAAATATAATGAAACTCACCAATGAATGTTTTAAAATAATTTTGAAAGAAATATTTAGTATAAAATAAGATTTTTTTATAATGAAGTCAAATTACTGTGTGAAATATTGTCAAAAAGGCAAATAAATTGAATAACCTAATGTTTATGTGATTAAATCCTAGCAAGAGAAAATGGCAGTCTTTCTAAATGTTAACTGTGGCTACTAGATAAACAACATAGAATTTCAAGTTACCTAGTGAATAAACATCTTAAAATAGCACAATTTGAAAAAAATAAATCTCTATCACATTTTCACCCAAGTACCACGGGCTGCAAAATTAAATTGTCAATCAATTCATTGACATTTCTTCTAAAGAAAATTCCATATATCTATTATGACAAAATGAGTATAAACCAGGCGATAGTTATAAATACCTTTCATTTAAAAATTATTGTTATTCATTATCTAAGTTTAGAGGTTCATGAAAGAAACAGAAAAAGAAAACACCCATCCTCCTTTTTTGAAAAAAGAAAGATTACACTCAGTATCATTACCTTTCTTTTGACAAGTCATGGAAATTGGGGATGATCTTGAGGACCCTTGGAAACTCCCACCCCAACACACTCTATGTTACAGCTCGAGCTTCGTGCCAGAACCATTACCACACTCTGTACCCTATGTTTGCTCCTCCCTTTGCTTGTTGTTCAGTGTGTGTGTGTGTGTGTGTGTGTGTGTGTGTGTGTGTGTGTGTGTGTTTTCTATATTTCTGCAAACAGTGTCTAGCATATATTAGATATCCAGTATATGTTTAATGAACGAGTCCTGAATTTTTCTTTGGGATTACTTCCTAGGTAAAGGACATATGAATAAAATGGTTTTCCAGAAAGTCTATGACCTATGACCTTTCACCAGCAGTCTAATAGAATGTCATGCTAAGGGCCAACTCCTCTTCAGGAAGATGTACAAATAATACATATTTACGATAAGGGTACCAAAGTAGATGAAAAAAAAAACTGAACCAAAGAAGGTAAAAACTGACAGTCCAACAATAATATTTAATAATAACAATAAGGACTTTAATGCCTCAGTTTATAAAGGATACAGGATAAGTAAATGGAAGGCCTACAAGACACAGAAGCTTCCAACTTTAATTAGATTAAGAGACATGCACAAAGCACACCACCTAACCATTAGAATATACATTCTTCTCAAGTATTTCCAAACATTTAAAAATGAGAAACATGTCCAAAGCAGACCTCATTAGGCTATAATATAAATCTTAATAGTATTTAAAGGATAAATTCATACAAGGTAAGTCTCCAACCAAAAAAGAGTGAAGTCAGAAATTAGCAGCAGGGAAAAAAAATGGAAATACTACAATTATGGGAAAATTAAACAACATATTACTAAATAACCAGAATTAAAGAAATTCAGATAATACTTTGAGGTGAGACACTAAAACTGACCTTTAGCCCCTCTAAGAGAAGAGGAACAATCAAACCAGAAAGTCAGAGACAGAATTATAGAAGAAGCAGGCTGGAAAGATGGTTCAGTGGTTAAGAGTGCACTGTTCTCTCAGAGATCTGAATTCAGATCCCAGCACTCAACTCCAGCCCCAGGGGACTCTGTCTGACCTCTGCCTGAACTTCACTCATGTGCACAAATCCACACACAGACACAAACATATATACATAATTAAAAATAAAAATCTCTAAAACAGTCTATGGAATTCTGTGCCAACAAATGAGATACCCAAGGGGAAAAAATGTAAAAGTCCTAGGAAGCCAAATACTGAAACTGACTGAAGAGGAAACAGACAATCTAAATAAAGTCTGGAACAAATGAAGAGATCTATAAATTAAAACTCAGAAACCAAGACATGGTGTTTAGCTCAGAGGCAAAGCACTTGTACTGTAAGTGCAACATTCTGGGTTCAAACCCCAGAACCTCTAGAAATCAATATGTAAGTAAAATCCCCATTTAAAAAAAAAAAAAAAAAAAAAGCCCAGACTCAGATGGCTTCTCTGTTCACTTATGAAGGATAACCTTTCTGGAAAACAGTTTGAGAATATTTGTTAGAAATAGAAATAAAGGAAACTTTATTTTGCAGATATAGACACTGCATTTCTAAACGTTTACTGGGCAGACATGAAAGGACTGATTCTAAGGGCAGACGTACCAGGTCAGAACTGCACACCACGGCAGAAGAGGCCCATGAGGCTGTCAGATCCCCTGAACTGGAGTCATGGGATTGGGAGCTGCTGAGTGGACTTTCCAGCCCCACACAGCTGCCAATATTCAGAGGCCATTAGCGAATTTACTGAGCTTTTCTGAGACTAGGTTTGTACATCTCCTATAAAAACTGGCTAGGGACAAGACTCTTATCTCCTTTTCTTGCTCAATTGTCTTTTGAAATTGCTTAGACTGTATTTTAGCATTCAGTCTTACAAGTTCTATTTTTATTCATTTGTGAGTTAAGTTTTTCTCCTTGGGTTAATCAATCTTCATGCACATTCTGTTTTCCCAACTTGAGCAGTTTAAATGATGGCATTGGCTCAGGCTAGCATTTATCTCTAATTCTAAAGTAACCAGTTCCTAAAGCAAATTTAAAAAGGCCCTTGCTCTGATTTTATTAACTGAATATAAATTAAAATGCTTATAAAATTAAAGTGCATATAAATATACAATAAATCACTGACTCACTAGATTTCACAACTAAGTATTATTTTACTTGAGTAAAAACACAGGCTAGTTCTTTAAACTCTGTAAACTGATTGTCTTGACAAACCACTGAAAATATCTGATTAGTTATAAAACACAACTTAATAAATTACAACAATCCCACTCCACATCTTCTTTCTGCCTTGTCTTTCAGAATATTAGTTTCTTTAACTTCTTTGGTCACCGAGGTATAATGAGTTGGTCTAAGACCTACTGACATTTTATTCCAGAATTTCATCATGCATATCTATTTTCCTTTCCAATACTGAAACTATCTTTATTTACTCTTAATATAATAGCTAACTAACCAGTAGCCCTGTCAGATTGGCCTGATATATTACCACTAAAGTCATGTTTTTAAGATGTCAATTTTATGTGTACCACTGAAAATTCATTTACTAAGTTTTGGACATGAGGTTCAAATTTTTTTTTTCTATTGTACTCTGATGTATATCCTTTGTGGTGATATATTGTGTACCCTAATAAACTTGCTTGGGGATTGGAGGGCAGAGCCAGCCACTAGATTAGACATAGATGTCAGGCAGTGGTGGCACCCACCCTTAATCCTATCACTTGGGAGACTGAGATCCATCTGGATCTTTGTGAATTCAAGGTCACACTGAGAACAGAGCCAGGCGTGGTGGTACACACGCCTTTACGCACTTGAGATCTCATGCCTTTGCTTGGCAAGCACACATGCCTTTAATCCCAGGAAGTAATATGGCAGGACACAGAAAGGTATATAAAACAGGAACTCAGGCTCTTGAGAATGAGGATTTTGCAGCGGTAAGAATGTGGCTGGCTTGCTCTCTGATCTTTCAGTGTTCACCCCAATAACTGGCTCCATTTTTTTTTTTTGTTTTTTTGTCTGTTTGCTTTTTTTTAATATCAATAAGACCTTTTAAGATTTGTGTTGCAATCCTTCATCACACATGGCTCTGTTTTCATTCCTGCTACTTGTCAAGACTTTACTCATGATAGACTAGTATTGATTTTCAATAATGCCCTGCTTTTTATGCTTTTGTTCCTTTATATGTTCTCACTAAAAGAATCTTTCACTAGTCTTTTCTATTTCATAATACCCCTCTTCTTCAAGGTCCAGCTTAAGTATCCCGAATTTGTTAACTGTTCCTATTTATCTTCAGTCCCAGACACAGCCATGTAGCATTACATATGCTGTTATCAACAACTATTAAAATGTTTGCAGTTATCAATTTACAAATCACTTAAAGTACTTGACTGTGAGCTTATCAAGGCTGATACATTTCTAGTAATTCATCCACAAGAGACTGGAGGCCCTCAATATACATCTGTTGAGTAAAGGTTCATTAAAAAAAAGAGAATCTGACAAAAAATAGACTATAATTGTTAATTTTGCTAAACAGAATGAACTGAAATTGTTGTACTACACATAGACCCTCAGTCTAGAGCAAGGCCCCTAAGTTTGCCACCAATTGCATGTGGCTAGTGGGCACTTGAAATGTGGTCAGTACATGGTCAGATGTGTTGGGAATCTAAAATACTAGACTTCAAAAATTTGAAATATCTCACTTCTGTGTGTTTGGTTACACAACAAATTATTTTTGCATACTGAAAAGAATAAGAAATATCTCAATTTTGTATATTTAGTCACATGATGAAATAGCATTTTTGCATATTTAATGTTAGATAAAATACAATATTAAATTAGTTTTGTCTGATTTATTTTACAGATTTGATACTGCTATTAGTAAACTTTAAGTTATCTAGGTGGCTAAAATTATATTCCAATTAGAAAGCAACTTTCTAAAAAAATTGACCACTAGAAAAAGACATTGCCAATGCTAATAATGTTATTTTGAGATAATAGGCTGGGAGAATTTACTATGCTTACTTGGTGTAGAAATGAAGCTCATTTGAAGCAGGAGGCTAATGGGGTTGTGTTATCTGGGCCCTGACTCTTAGCAAGACAAGAAGAATACAATTTATGATGCATTATTGAAAGTCCAATTCCCCAGGGTATGCCCCAAGCACTGACCAGTGACTCACTCACTCCAGGAGAATTCCCTAGAGATTCTTTTTGAGCTCCAGAAGCCAGTTGTGATGGCTGCAGCCAGAAACTTAGCACAACCCTGCCCTTGGGAGCTGGCATACAGAAAGCTTCGAAATTCCTCCATGTATTCATTCTTCTGCCTTTTTGGTTCTTTGAATTTAAGTAAGTCTTATTTGGGCATGTTCAGGAGTCTACAAAGTCCTTTCAAATATAAAAATTAGAGGAAGCTTTATATAATCAAAGGTATGGTTTTAATTTTTAGGCTTATGGTGAATTAAATGTAGATAAATAGAACTCTTAGTATGCTTCATTCTTAATATATAATACTGATTTTCAGGCATGTGAGCTTCAATATAACTTTAATTCAGTGACTCTTAATCAGATAAAAACTCCCCTTCATGTACTACAGATAAAATTGTTGATTGAATTGATGAATATGCTCAAGAAATGTAAAACATCTAGAAAATTAAAAGGTCATTTCCCACTGAAGACATCTATTGATTGTGACTACCTAGCACCTCCATTTCCTTAGGGAGTCAACTGACTCGTGAAACTGACAATCACAAAAATTCTTGTCTAACGATACACCACTCCAGCCCAGGGCCACAGCGCAGACCGAGCTGGGCTCCCTGACCCAGCAAATCATGTAAGCAAGATGATGGTTTCAGGATAGGAATAGCCATGGCAGGACAATCAAACATTCTCTCTTAAATACAAGCCCTTTAGTCATAGCAGTAAGGCAAACCAAAAAGGAGTAGTAGAACTTAGCCTAGTTCACCACACAAAGCATTGTCTGCATACATTGTCTGCACTTACTGTAAGTAAATTTGTGAAGTAAAATTCTGCTCAGGTTCCACACATTGATAAATGCTTGATAACTCATTCATTTCTACAACTTCATAATTGATAGAACTAAGTCCCAGAGAATAGAAATTATATTCAGAAGGCATGTGTGTATGCATTGTGTACATGTATGTATGTATGCATTCATGTTCATATATGTATGGGTACTTGTGTTCATATATGTGTACTTTTACATGGAGTCTCCAAGTTAATGTCTTCCTTAATGGCTCTCCACTTGATGATTCCTGCTGGTTTAGCTGGCTATGTAGCTCCAGGAATCCCCTGCCTCTGTCTGGAGAATGCTGCATTGTAGGTGGCTGTCATTATGAACTTGGCCTTTTATAAGGGTTTTAGAGATCTGAACTTTGGTCCTCACACTTGCAAGACACATAAATGCTTTATCCACTGAGCCACCTCTCCAGCCCCTTTACAAAGCTTCTCATGTATATCAAAGTTGGAAAAAGACTCAAGGTTGTCAGATTGCCAGGGAAATGGTTTTTGATATTCATAAGAACTACAACAAAAAGAAATACTACTTTCACTGTTTAGACAATCAAAAATCATCTGCTGTGTCATGCCATTGAGAAAAATTTCAACTGAATTAACAGTAAGCTCCAAACTTTTTAAACTATGTTATACTTCTTGAATCAAAAAACTCATCACCTACAACAAAAAACAAACAGGTGTGTGCAGAAAACAGAAATATATTTTGTGGGAACACTAATCTATCCCACAAAGTAAATACAATTCCAAAATCTCTATTTAGTAGAATCACACATGCACATCACACATCATAATGTCCAGGTACTCTCAGTTATATAGTTTATGATCATATTGTAGAGCCAATAAATATTTGTTGAATAAATAAATTCAATTCTCAGAACAGCATGAGAAAATTGGATTAAGTTTCATTATCATTTCTAGTTATAGATGATAATGAGATTCAGAAATGCTAACTGGCTTCCCAAAGGTCATAGACTTTCTGCTTGAAAATCCCACATTATGCTGAAGTCTTATTATGTCTTCTGAATACATCTTTCAAGAACGTATTAACTTCGGGGCTGGAAACACAGCTCAGTTGGGAGAATGCTTGCCTACCATGCAAGCGTTGAACCATACCTGGGTTCAGTCTACAGCAGCTCAACAATGAAACAGAACACATTAACGTCTACTTTAACATGAGACATGGTAGCACTAACCTCCATGCTAATGCACTATTTACACAGTGCAGGTGGTTACCTAATCAAACTAATCAAAACTGACTAAAACTAATAATGCACAAAAAATTAAAAGTAAAGTATGTTTAAGATAATTTAACAATTGTTAGTCTAAAAATTTAAAGGAAGAAAATGTAGTATGAGAAAAGAAAGAACTAAATTATATTCTATGAGAATGAGTGGTTAATATTCTGAAAATTATGTATCACAAATATGCTATATATAGAATAAATGGTATCTTGTTTGGTACACAAGACATCTTTTTGCATTGTAATGTGCTGAAGTGGACTCGGGTCTGCTGCAGAATTTAGCTGGTAACAGAAATTTAGTGTTGGTCAGTTGCCACTGCCAGTGGCAAGCTAAGCAGTGACTGGAAGACATAATAAAATTAAGTTATATAGAAAATGTTCTATAGAAATAAAATTAAACATGTAATAAAACGAGTGCCATCTACATTTAGACTGCTATACTGTGTAAAGAAAACTATTCGATTTCCTCACATGTACCATAAGAAAATAATGCACTTTATTTCTGTTGTTCGCCTTCTAACTTTGAAGAAAAGCCATAAATCAATTGTTCTTTGCCTTGCTGTGGAGCAGTAAGTTCGGCTAGTGACTTTTCTGCCAAGAGACTATAAACACTGTGGAAAATGATCTGCATCACATTCTTTTGATGTAACAAACACTGCAGGGGGATGCCTATGTGCTTGCTGAGTCCCGTGGGATCAACAAACTCTGGATGACCTTCAGCACTCATACACCATTCTTACATGTATAAAATTGCCTGCAGTTGAGGCCTTGATGATTCAACTACATTGTCACATATACATCAACAGCCTGTGACAATTTTAAGATGACCAAAGTTTAAAGTTTCTTACAATTAATAACATCATCTACCTTTTGGACAAATGAAGAAATGATATTCAGAGATATTACAATATTCATTCCATGAAAGGATCATATTCTTCACTCATTAAAACAAAGCCTCTCCCTCATCCCCCATGCCCGCAAACCATACAACAGTCCATTTCAATTTGGGTAGTCTTTAAGATGGAGGCATCCTTACCATGAGGAGTGATGGTCTGTACAGGTTTAGCAGGGGACCTCACATTCCATATGGTCAAAGTACCATCAGAATGACTGCAAATAAATTGTTTTCCTTCATGATGCCATGCCACAGAGTGAATAGCCTACAGAAGGGTGAAGAATTCTATTATCACATTAGTGATAAATGGTTTGGTAATTGATATTAATAAATTTTTATAGTTTCCTAGCTAGTCAAAATATTAACTACATTTCAAAATAACTTAGTCCTCTTACAATACAAATAAGACATTTTATAGTGAAACTATTTAATTCCTCCCAATCATTGTATTTCTTAAGTGTGCATTAGGAAGCTATGACAATGATATATGCACTATTTTCTGACAAGTTCAGGAAAAGAATGTCCTTAGGGCTTATCAGAATAAACCCTACCCAAACACAAACTACCAAGTTACAATCAATGTCGGATGGAAGAAATTAGCCACCTTGAAATACTAAAATTTGTTAAAATGAACTAAAAATCTATTCTAAAATTAAAAATATGTTTAGGATTAAGATCAATGAAAAATCCTCAGGATGAACATCACAGCATAATTTCAATACCTCAGAATAATTATGGAGGTGACTTTTAATCTGAGGAGACCACCCTCTTTCCATTTTCATTATTTTATTTCATGTATGTCAGTGTTTTGCCTGGATGTACGCCTGTAAACTGTGCGTGTTCCTAGTGTAATCAAACAGAGGCCAGAAGAGGACACTGGATCCTCTGGAAATGGGAGTTACAGACAGTTGTGAGGCACCATGTGGATACCAATAATGAAACCTGGGTCCTCTGAGAAGAGCCCAGTGCTCTTAGCCATCTCTCCAGTCACCCAAGAAGACCCTTAACTGCTATGCCATCTCTTCAGACCCACGAGAAGATCCTTTTTGATTGGAATATTATACTTCTAATCTGCCATCCAGAAAGTATTTTATGTGACTGACATGTGTTTGTCCTCCACTTTTCCCCTCTAAATTATGAATTTTCTCTTTAAATTCTTATTTTCAGAAAATCAGTTCCCAGGGTTTGCTCTGAATGTCTTATTCCCAAGTCATGGCGATGCACTTTTCATTCTTAATGGTTAATGACTTTAAAGGTGCCCTGCTGAACTATGGAATTGCATAGCACAGCAAGAATGCATTCAACTGAAACTCAAGAAAAAGTTCTATTATACACACACAGTCAACACTTTCAATTAATTCAACATCTGCTTATTTGGGGTCTTTGTGTGCTTATAAATCTGAGCTAAAATTATATAGTATTTTAATACAGGCTGGATGAAAACATTTACATGATGATGAGCACAGAAAGTATATGCCAATATTTAATACAACATTTCTGACTCGAAGTATTTCTACCAAATTTTGAAATAGAGTAGCTAGATAAATTGCTCCAAAATATATACTTAAGTCATTATAAAACCTCAATCTTAATATAAGCCTTACCTTTATATATACTAGAGTGAAATTATTTCCATGAAATGTAATATATATATATATATATATATATATATATATATATATTTTTTTTTTTTTTTTTTTTTTTTTTTTTTTTTTTTTTTTTCTTCTGAGACAGGGTTTCTCTATGTAGCTTTGCGCCTTTCCTGGAACTCACTCTGTAAACCAGGCTGGCCTCGAACTCACAGAGATCCACCTGGCTCTGCCTCCCAAGTGCTGGGATTAAAGGCATGCTCCAACAACGCTCGGCTTAAAATAATTTTTAATAAGTAAGAGAAAACACATGTATTGTGTGGGATATGACTGCTGAGCACTGCAACCTGAATCTAATTGAGGAGAAACATTAGCGAAGACAATAGTCCCTGAAAGTACCAGATTGTTCTGTGGAAGGAGCTTGTGAGGATCTTCAGTTACAACATGAGCTGTGGATGTAATGGCATCGTTTCTCAGAGAGAACTCCATGACTCAGAAGGTTCACTGGTACCAACAATACACTGTGTGCTCTAACTCCCCAGAAAGGAAGGTGATCTGAACATATGACTAACAGAAGAAACTTTGTGTTTTAATGCAATTAGAAAAACTTTGCAGCTAACCTAACATCAAATCGAAGCTAAAACTGAAAATTCAATTCTTAGAGAAGCTACTGCGGATTATAGCAATGGCAAGATCTGTAATGAGGATAAACATTGCTGTTACCTCGTCGTATGTGTATCTGTAGTCTGCCTTCTTTGACTTGAGGTCCCATAAGACAACTGTTCCAGATTCAAAGCCAATCAAAAGCTGCGGAAAGGAAAGGCCACCTTACTGAGGAATGACTTCTTTATGCTGCAAAATACTTATTCTGGACAATAAAGCTAATCATCGTTCATATCCTTCACACATAAAACTTTAATATAATTAAACACCTGCACTGGGCGTTACTAATCACACAGACGACACATGACAACATGGCAGGGCAGGTTTACATGCTCTTCGTCATTAGCGACCCAAAATACAACTGATACTGAATGGAGGAAGCGGACTTCTTGAAGTCATGAGTCTACATCCTAATACATTTCTAAAAATTACTAATAAAATTGTGTATTTGTATGTGTTTGCGATATTTCAACATTTGTGTGTGTGTGTGTGTGTGTGTGTGTGTGTGTGTGTGTGTGTGTGTGTTTTAAGACAGAGTTTCTCTGTGTAGCTTTAAGCCTTTCCTGGAACTCACTCTGTAGCCCAGGCTGACTTTGAACTCACAGAGATCCACCTGCCTCTGCCTGTGCTGGGATTAAATGTGTGCACCACCACCACCTGGCTCATACTTTCAAAGATCTATATATCGCCAAGGAATTTCACTCAATGTACACACTGATTAATTTCAAATAATCATCCCCTTCCTTCATAAATTTCAAGCTCACAGTTCCAATAACCACACTACTTCCCAATACTAAACCAGAAAGTATGTTCAAGACTATGTACACCCTCTGGAGCCTGCTGGCTCTCTCTACTGTGCGTCCTGATCACCACAGCTAATCAGCTGTCTGTCAAAGACCTGGCAGTCATCATGAATGCTAGTCTCACCTTCAACAACAACAACAACAAAAATATCAACTCAATTTAATTTCATGTTCTGCATCTAATTTATATCCCTTCCTCTCTAATACTTCCCTCCTGGAAAAATACACAAAGATCTCTGTTGTGACCAATTCACACTGTAATTGGAGGACTGGTTAGGAAATCTAAAACTGAAAGGGAAATGTATGCTTCTACTTAAATTGGTCAGCCTTGCTCTTCTTTTCATGATAGAATCAAAAGTCCATTACACAATGTAATATTTATCACTGTCTGATTTCTACTTATTCCTCCAAAATCACCCCTCATACCTCTCCTGCCCAACACACTCCATTTGCTGATTCTGGAGTTTGTTTCTCCATGCATGTGCACTCCCATATTTAAGCTTTTGTACAGGTTGCCTTCCTGGCTGGGGTGAGGGGTGGGGTGCCATATAAATGGAATCCCCTGATTAGTCCCCTTATTCTTCAGACGTACTCTTAGCAACTGGTTCTTTGGGGAAGACTTCCTTGAAAGACCAAATATTGTATCAATGCCTTTCTAACATGCTCTAGTAATACTCCATCCTTTTATGGTCTGAAGGGTTACTTTTTAATATAACATCTCATTTGAACTCTCTTACAGACTACAATACTGGTTCATTAGACTGATACTATCTTGTTCACTGTTATACCTTTAACACATGCCATAGAGTCTGATAGGTTCTTGCCTCATAAACTGTGGACTGTCCATCTGTTGGCCCACACCCCTGGCCCAGTGTGACAGTTGTTGACACTGACTGTTATTTTGCTAGGATCTAGAATCATTAAAGAGAAATGCCTTTGGGCATACTGTGAGGGGTTAGTGTGATTATGTTAACTAAAGTAGGAAGAAATTTCCTAAATGTAGACAGCACTCTCCATGGGCTGAGGTCCTGGACTTAGAGAAGAGAAAATGAGCTATCAAAGATGAAATACATACTCCTGCAAAGACTTTGCAACAGCCTCCTTTCCCTCTAGATATCTTGGATACATGATATGGCAATGTCCCATAGAGAAGGAAAGAACATTCAGAAATAAAGAAAAGAAAATTTTACAAACTGATCAACTATGTTAGCAGCTCAAGATGTAGGTAAAGAGCTCTAAGTGTGAAAGCACCACTTCAGAGACTTGTAACTTTAAGGAATTAGCTTTGCCTGTTCACATTTTTAATAACCTAAGAAGGTCACAGCAAACTTTTAGCCTCTTTTATCTAGCTACAACATCCTAATGAAATTAGAAATATGCCCAACAGGTTAGGGTTGAATGATCATAAGTTTCTTAGATCTTCTCTACAGATGTAGGACAAGGAAAATGAGAACCTAAGTTATGTAAGTCCTTGCAAAGTCTCCACAGGGTTTATTCTTACGAGGAAGTTTCATTTTGCCATGGATAGCAGTTAATGCAGAGAGTTCTAGCTGGTCAAAGTGCGGAGAGTGACTATTTAGTGTTTAGCCCTAAGAGGGACATCCCTATCATGCCCACTACCATAACACACACAGACACATACACACACAGACACACAGAGACACATATATACACAGACACATACACACAGACACACACAAAAAAACACACAGACATACACACACAGAAACACACAACTGGGAAACATCATGGAAAAGAGGGTACAAAGAATAGGAAAAAATGCTATAAAAAATGTTATGAAAGAGCATTCTAGACATGACATGGCTACTGTGCTCATAAATTCCCGGACACTGTGGTCACCTGATCTAGATCTGGCCTGCCCGCGTTGTAGCTGGAATGAAGGAGGGACAAAATAAAATAAGCTGTCGATGCTGCAGTAAAGAACCACAACCTGTTCAGAGAAGGAACCTCAATGAAACCCAACAGTAGTTAAAAAACTAAATAAAAACAGGAAACCCTAAGAACAGGATGGGGACTTGTGGGGGAGAAAAAGAGGTCCAGAGAGAGGAGCGGGGAGGTAATAGGGAGTAATGTGATCAAGATGTATAATATACATGTATGAAACTCTCATACATGTATATTAAAATTAAAATGCATTTTAAAAAGAATTGTTCCTACTAGAATGGTGTATAACTTAGAAAGATAAAAATAATTCTGCGAATCACTCACTAATGTCCTACTTTTTCTCTTATAAGCAAGCGTGGTGATCAACACTTGTTATCTCAGCACTTGGGAAGCCTTTGAGACAAAAGGATTGTGAGATCCAGGCCAATCTGTGCTACCTATTGAAATCCTGCACAATCAAACAATTAAAAAGCCTGGAGATAGAGAGTACTGGTACAGCACTTGCTTAGCATGTGCGAGGCCCTGAATCAACTTCCACCACCAAATATAAATCAATAAAACAAGTGGTTGCACTGAGGATGAATACAGCTCTATATGGTTCAGAGGAACAGTGATACACATGCATTTCTAACAAAGGCAGTGAATCATGCATGCCAGAACACTTGCATGAAGTGCTATGGAAGTAAGAGAGAAAGTATTTTCTGTCAGAATTATCTGGGAAGACATTGTTTATATGTACTATTAATTTGGACCTTAAAGTGTGGAGAAGAAGTCAGCACAATGGTAAACTAGCCCTGCAAACAAGACTGACAGAAACCAAAGCATGGAGGCAGCAAAAAGCAGTCTGCTTGGGAAACAGTGACTATGGCTTCAGTATGTCCTTCTAGTGAGGATATCATGAAAGATAAAGAGAGCCAGACTGCATCCTAAGGAAAAGTCAGTCACCCCGTCCGACTGTAGACACACCCAACACTTAAACGAGAAATCATCAAGATGAGAATGACACTCTAGGAAGGTTGGACTCAGTCCTCAAAGGGATGTCTTCATCAAACACTTCCCCCTTCAGGCTCAGGGATCTATGCAGAAGAGGAGCGAAAAGATTGTGAGAGCTGGGGGTGGTGGAGGGCTTGAAGGAAACATTCTTCCAGACACAACTGAGCTGATGTACACATGAACTCAAAGACTGTGGCAGCACACACAAGACCTGCAGAGGTTCAAACCAGATAAGATCCCAGACAAGATACCAGCCCCGAGGAGGGGAAATAGACACAAAGTCCAAGAAGCTATTTGCAGCTGATACCTGCTGGGAAAGAAAGGTTTTCTCCAATGGAGTGACACTGGGTATATCAACCATAGTCTAGGGTAGGCTCCATGCCCAGGAGTAGCTGGACAACACAAAAACAAACTCCATTTGGTGTGTGTTGGGGAGGGGCTTTTTGTTTCACTTTGTTTTGGCTTCTGTTAGTCTTACTGATTTTTTGTTTGTTTTGATTTTCATTGTGTGTGTGTGTGTGTGTGTGTGTGTGTGTGTGTGTGTGTGTGTGTGAGAGAGAGAGAGAGAGACAGACAGACAGACAGACAGACAGACAGAGACAAAGAGAGACCGAGAGGGAGAGAGGGAGAGAGAGAGAGAAATGCAAGAAGTTGATGGGGAGGGAGGCAGACAGGAGCTGGGGAGAGAGGAAATGATTAAAATACTTTATATAAAAATTTTAATCAATAAAAAAAAAGAAATAAAAGAGTGTGCCAAACTCCATCAACTCTAACACACCTTACAGGAAGAGACATTACAAAGAAGGGTTGAAATGACTCAGTGAGTAACTCCATGTGACAGGAACCTTGTTAATTCACCAGACTTTCCAGCCAGAGGTTTGGCTTTAAAACAAGCATCTTGTGTAAAAGAAAAACAAAGCAATAACCAGGCTACTGTACATTTGCTAAATGTACAGTATGTAAACATATGTAGAGTTTCCTTCCAGTCATATAGTTCCATGACCACTAGCTAACTCCCAGCAGTCCAGGGATGCTTTTGTCTTTCAGTGGCGGGATGAGAACAGTGGTAAATAACTGACAGCTTCGCCCTTTCTCACTAACTGAGAGAAGAAAATATTTGAGTCAAATCCCTTTATAAGACAAAGTTTTCCATCCTTGATTTCTGACACTTTCTGGTGCTCATTCCTGTTAAGATCCTAAAATCACACAGGTAGGAAAGGGCCATTATTAAATAGAACTACCTGAAAGACAATTAGTGTAAGAAAACGGAAACTCACAGAAAAGGAAATAGGAGTTTTAAATGTATTAATTAACTCAAGCTAACCGTAGCTAGATACAGACTGCATGAGTATAAAAAAAAAAAATCAAACAGGATTTTATATGTTAGGATTAATATACTAATAATATACATTATTAAGCAGATGTACTTATGAAGAAAAATTTAAGGAAGCTGAGTTACAGAGACTACTCTGAGATAATGTAATATATGATAGGCACAATAAAATCTGTAAACTAAATGAAAAGTCACATGCTGCCCCTGTCCTCCCCTACCCCCCACCTCAAAAATCCTGTCTACATTATCTGAAAATCAGGGAAAATATTCTGAGTCAGCCGAATACAAATGAATACCTTATATTTATTAAATTCTATTTATGCTTTAGGATTTTTAATCCTTTTACTTAGGAATCATTCCAATTCTTCACCTTGTTCTTCATAATGAGTAACAAGCAATTACATTACTCACTATACAAACCTTGGTCCAATCTCAATTTTTGGGCAACAGTGCAGTCCTAGGACAGTTTGCATATTTAAAAGTCAAAACAGCATGGATTAATTAACAAATGTTTGTTTAGAAAAAATTCTACCTTCCCCTCATCCATGGGATTATCACTTATATGGACAACAGGACCCGGGTGAGATTTAGATGACCTGAGAAACAAAACAAAACATAACAAATAAGGTTTTTTACTCAATTAAAAGTCACAGCAAATCATCACAATAAAAAGATCAATTTATGAAGAAAATAGTTAAGTTGCCAATCAAAGAAAAAATGATGAAAATCATAAGCCTGTAAGTTAATAAACTTTATAATTGCATTTTATATATAGGAAAGATTTCAATTTAGTCAAATATTTATATCTCTTTTCATTATGAAGTTAATATTTTAAAATAATGCAACATTTAATGCTAGGTGTCAGCTGGGATATCCCAACCAATTCTACAGCTCATACTAGAAGTTGAAAAAACTTCTGTTTTATTTTTTGAAAACCCAGAAATTAATGGTACCTATACATATACCAGAGAAAGAGAGAGCATATAAGTAAAGATTACTGGAACAATGCCCATGCATTTAGAAAAAGTATATCCCTATTCATGAATGCTGGAGGCTGGGGACAATGCACCCCTTCAGCCTGTGAAGACTTAGACCATCTCTACCTACTAGATGTTATGATCAACTCAAAGAAAAAACTGAAAACCCACACTTCCAAGGAAGGGTAGCAACATCTTTGTCACAGAAAGAAAAACTGGCTTTCAGCACACTACTCTAGCTACACCAAAATGTTATCTGAGACATGTCACAAATTTTTCTCTGTCAAAAGATTAAAGGTGTGCAATGAATTTTTAAAAAGTCTTGTCAACATTGTACGTTAAAACTTACAAAAAGAGATGATACAAAAAACACTAGGACGTAGAAATTAGCACTACAAATTCTTGGCAACACAGTTCAATCTGATTTTTGTTAATCTTGGTGATATACTAACTTTAACAAACATTTACATTGGGTGATTATTAGAAGATATAAAAGAAAAATAATTAGAAGGTTAAAGAAACAAATTGAATTAGAAGATAAAAGAAAAAAAATGAATGTTTTCAACCTAACAGGAATAACTACTGCATTTCAACTATTAAATATAACAGTTTATACACAGATGAAACTGAATAATATTATACATTTATAAATATATGTGAACATAAAAAAGTTTAAAGTTATTAAATGTCATGACAATAGGATAATACTTATGAAAAAATCAAAAGATTTACATATAATATCAGGAATACCTGACACATCAATGCCACAATGATTCACTAACATAAAGCTATAAGATACTGACACTTGATAATTTCAGATATGGAATATTTGCTCAAACTTACAGTTCAATGGCTTTATTCCACATAATGACATAGCCTGAGAGTGTGAAGGACTCCACATTGACAATGTGTATATTACCTCGTTCAGTGCCCACATAGAGCCACTTACTCTGGAAAGGCAGATGGCAAAATGTAACCCTACAAGAGAAAACACAGACAGAAAGGGAATTAGAAGAATATCTGATACACTTCCCTGACTGTATTAGGTGGTTTCTTATGAAATAATTTATATATTTACTATACATAATAATTATATATAATTTTAAAAGGCAAATATAAAATAATTATATTTATAATTAGAAAATGCAAAAATGACAATGAAATAATCAGATTCATCTATTCACTGTGATTGATATTTAATCATGCTAAATTTAACTTGTATGTTAAACATATAGCCTTACACTAAACAGTATGGCATGATTAAGAAAGAATGGTTTTGAAGTAAGAATATGTTTCATATCTGAATACATTATTCACTTTCTTCCTATGAGTACATCACAGATCTAACGTACAAGCCAATGCTCAACCATAGTAACAAACAAACAATTAATAATAATAATAAACCTACAATACAAACTGAGAATAACAACTTCTAGACTTTATGTATCAACGTAATGCCTGGTCTCTGGCAAGAGCAAACACACTCCATGTTTGCTATTTCCATAAATGCACAATTTTATTACAGAGATTCTGCAAGATGAAAATACATATTTAAACAATAAAATATAGCTTATGTTCTTATTTCTTTTTAGTGTTAATGTTCAGGTAGACCTTAAGGTTTAGATATTTGAAGTTTTTAATGTTTTATATAATAAAATGTACTCTTTCTAAGGATTTATATGAATTTATTATAATAAACTATAAACATACCTATTGAATCAGCAAAATAATTTTATAGTACAGCCTAAGTATTACTTTTCTGACATTCTTGGGGCTAAATGTGTTTTAGATTTCATATATTTTCATATTTTGAAATAGTAATAAATAAATAATAAGATATCCTGGGAATGGGACATAAGTCTAAACACAACATTGATTGAAATCACATATATGCCCTGTATATATAGTTTGAAGGTAATTTTGTACAACTTTTGTGTGCCTACATTTTGACTTAATCCTGTACTATGAAGTAAAGTGTAGAATTTTCAATTTATTGTTATGTGGGTACTCAACGTGAATTTTCCATTTATTGTCATGTGAATTTTCCATTTATTATCATGTGGGTACTTAGTGTTTCAGACTTGAGATCACCTCCTACTTCAGGTTTTTACATTAGGGATGATCAACCTGTACTTTATTATTTCCAAGGCAGTAGAAATCCATATCACCTTTTTGAAAACCTTAAGGGATAAGGAAAAGGAAGAAATTTGGATTAATGGATAAGTGTAGTATCTTAGGTGTGATAATGGTTCAAAAGAGTGTGCAGATATGTATCAAAACTTAAACAGTATATATTAAGTTTACATTTTAATTCATGTCACTTATAACTCAAAAACTGCCTAACATTTTTGTTTAAACAGATCTATGGATTTAGGAATTATGAGAAATTATCTAGTTCTAGTTAACATATAGACATGAGCAATAGTTAGACTGCCTAGGTTCAAGTTCCAAGTCTCTCACTTATTAGCATATAGTCTTAGGTAAACTATTCAACTTTTCAGTCTCCATTTCTAAGTAGCAAAACACACCTACTTCACAGTATCCATCAATGATCAGTAAGACAAAGCATTTTAGATACTTAAAACAGGGCCTGACATTAAATATTCAATGAATGTTAGCTATATATTATTAAAAATAAATTATATTCTCAGGCCGGAGAGATGGCTCAGCAACCAGTTAAGAGCACTGGCTGCTCTTTCAGAAGACCTGTCTTTGATTTACAGCATCCACATGGTGATGTACAACATGGTAGTTGCAACCTGACCCATGTGGTGCTAGGAACCAAACCCTGGTCCTAATTTGTTTTTCAATGTTTTTGGAACCCAGGTAGCACATGATGAATTCCACATAAGACAGACAACGTCAGGCAGGACAGGTAAAGCCAGCCAGGACACTTGAGAAGGGCTGGCCAGATTGTCTGACAGGGAGGCATCTTTAACTGTGGTTGTCCAGCTGACTGTGGACAGAAGAAAACCACTCTGCCCCGCACCCCCAGAACTATGAGCAAAGGAAACACTCATCATAGCTGCCTCTTCAGCTTGAGGATGTTTTCTTATGCAGCAGCTGATAGCTGAACTACTACTATCATAAGTCAAATTTATGTTAGTTGAAAATGAAGAAAAGACATAAAAATCAAATAGGAAAATAAATTCTTACACTTATAAAATCAAGTTTCAAAAGGCCAGAAAAACTTGTCAGGAATACATACAGTCCCATGTACCACAAGGCTAAAATACTGCCTTGAATCAAAACCAAATTCATACCAATGCTCTCATTCTCATATTCTTTCTGTCTGTCTATCTTTCTCTCTCTCTCCACACACACACATAAGCCCCTATTTATGCACTTACACAAACTTGCTATTTTAAAATTGGTTTTTATTTGTTTCTCCTTCCCCCAAATTTGCTATTCCTGTAAGTTTTATAAACAACTGGAATATGTTTTCTATCTTTCGATCATGTTTCCAAAATAAGCAAGACATGAAAGATTTGAGGTTGGGAGAGAGCTCTTTTTTCCCCTTTTTTTTAATTAAAAAAATTATTTGTTTATTTGTTTGTCTGTGTGTGTGCATGTGTATATGTGGTGGGTATGTACCTGTGAATATGTCTGTATCATGGTACACACGTGCAGTTTGGGGCACAATTTTCCAGAATCCGTTGTCTCCTCTAGCATGGGTTCTGGAGATCAAACTCAGGCAGCCAGTCTTCTGGGGCAAGTCCTTGTACCCACTGAACCACCTCTAATGCTTTGTTTTTAAGTCAGCGCCTCACACATGTAGTTCAGGCTACCCTGCCACTGAACATGTGTGCCTCTCTTCACACATGGACTTCTGGACTCGTTATGGGCTTTAGTCCATTTGTTCTCTCTTGGAAATTACCGTTTCTAATTTCTAGCACTTTTGGGGGGAGAGCACAGGAGTTCCTAGTAAAACAAGTACTACCACCCTGTATTTCTTTTTCAAAATTATACAGTCTCAGTTATTCTAGATTTTTCTTTTGCCATGTAAGTTTTAGAATCATGAACAACCTTTTGAAGCTTCTGATTACAATGTCTCTTGATTTATAGATGAATTTGGGCTATCTGCATGAGCCCTGGCTTAAGACTGTCACCAGTGAGGCAGGGGACACAAATGAAGGCAATCACCCCTTCTCTCCCTGCTCTATTGACGGGGAACAGTTCAGCAGTGAGGGGTAGGGCCGCCTGGACCCCTCCTCTCTCCATGTCTGGCTCTTAATGTCTTGTTTTTAAATTGACCGATTGTACATGAATTAGGTACAAGCTTATTTCAGCTCCAACTTTTCTTCAGCTACACCTTTACCATTCCTTTCCCTCCAAGGTTCCGTTTTCTGTAGCATGTCTCCTGCAACTGTTTCAAAGGAAATCTCTGTCTCAGTCACCTCATCACAGAATCAGCTCACGGCCTTGAAGTGTTCGTTTTTTATTCAAATAAATTAATTGTTCGTTGGGTAAGTTAGCAGGGAAAGCATTGCCATGAAAACCGGCACTGAAATGTTAGGTCTAAGGAAACAGGGAACTAATAAATGCTGCTTGTTTTCAGACACCTAAGCAGACCGAAGTCTAACAAACCATATCAATAGAAATAAGGCAAAATAAACACAAAAGAAACCCAGTAAGCATAGAAGGGAACAGGAGCACTCAGTACAATGGGTGAACGCCTCTGATCTTCACAGCACAGACACTGGATCGTAAAACTCAGTCAAGAAATCCTCCAAGATGGAGAAGCAGGAAAGCGGCGCCAGCACACGGTGCAGCCGCGGTCTCCTGTCTCTTCCACTCCAAGCTAGTAGTGCTTTTACTGATGCTGTTTTCTCACTAATAAATGAAATGAATAAATACCACCAGGTCTCACCCTACTGCACACAAATCCCACCATCTTCCAAGAGTGACCCCCTAGGCTCTCGCTAAGACATGAGGATGAGATTTTAAACTTTACATAGGCCTTCAGTCTGGGTGAGAGCGGTGGGATTACCTTCACTGTGGGGAGATTCTGAGACATCCTGTAGTCATCACCTGCTATTTCTCTCTAGGCTACATTTTCAAAAGTATTCTCTCCTTTACCACCTCCATTGAAGTGAGAATTCCACTCCAGTTCTGGCTCCTTGTCTACATTTCCTTCAATTTAGCACTCTCTACTTGCATTTTATCATAGAGAAGCAAGGAAAAAAATATCAAGTCACACCTTCAACATTTCCCTGGGAAATATCAATTAAAAATACACGCTAATCATGTATTCAGTATGAAGGAGACAAATCTCTGAATCTTTCTGCCCCGTGGAAAGAGGAAGCACTTTCTCAAGATTCCACTAATGTGTTTCTCACTCCATCCTGAGTTCCACTGGCAACCAACAGACAGGCATACTACAGACAGCCTACTGGAGGCAACTGGAGCCTTTTCTCTCGTGTTCCCAAAATTGAAGCCCCATCTACCCACTGTCGAATTCGAATACCACTTAAACATGTTTAGTCAGTCAACAAGCACATATATAACCCAAGACTCTATTTACTAGTGATGTCACAGCGGTCCTAAGTTCATTTAGATACGTTCCACAATGCTGTTGTGAAATTTTTTTTTTCTCTACACACAGTATGGCTGCTGCCGCCTGGAAATTAGAGCAAAGTATTCCCCAAACCAGAGATTCACAAGATCTGTCCTATGGTCCCCATCCGAGATTATAATCCCTCCCTCCAGCCTCTCTTCACCCTCCATATGATTCCGCCTCAGCTGCAAGTGTTTTGGGATGGTGCTAGAACAGACGAGAGGGAGGGGGTCAACTCAAGGGAGGAGTCCATCCATGCAACTTTCAGAAGTTGGTCATCCATCCTTGGGATGGGACTTTTCCATGAGGAAGCTGTTTGGGTGCCATCCACATTCTTGAAACACTTCACCCAAGCTCCTGTAACCCTGCCCTCTAAACTCACTTGCTCAGCAAGCTTAACCTAGAAGGAATCATTGTTTTG